CTCGGCGCCTGTGGCTCAACCGGCTAAGGCGCCAGCCACATACACCTAAGGTGGCGGGTTCGAATCCCCAGCCCGGACCCGCCAAAACAACAATGACGGCTGCAACCAAAAAATAGCCGGGCGTTGTGGCGGGTGCCTGTGGTCCCAGCTACTTGGGAGGCGGAGGCAGGAGACTCGCTTGAGCCCAGGAGTTGGAGGTTACTGTGAGCTGTGATGCCACGGCACTCTACCCAGGGGGACAGCTTGAGGCTCTGTCTCAAAAAAAAAAAAAAAAAAGAAATGCAGATTCTCAGGCCTCACCTCAGACCTGCTGAATCAGAAACTCTGGGTATGAAGCCTAGCAATCTATGTTTTTCACAAGATAATATTCTAGACAATATTCTTGAACTACTTGTCTAGTGATTTAGAGTTGAGTCAGGTTATTACCAAAGCCTCTCATTTCAAGGACCAGGTCAAGACATTATTTGAAACAGTCTGTTTAAAACACATAGAATCTCTTATATTGCTGTGAATTAAGAGTCATGCGCAGAATGAATATAATGCTAAGAGCACTGGGAGGTCAGGAGGACATAGTTTTCAAAAGGTGTCAGTCATGGAAATCTAAGGGTCTATGAAGCATTTCTAGGGATTTCCTAAAAAAAAGAAAAAATAGTTCATATGTTTGGTGACTCACCTCCAGTGGTTCTCAACCTTCCTAATGCCCCAGTGTATTTTCATTGTTACAAAGGGGTCGGGACCCACAGGTTGAGAACCACTGCAGACCATCCAGTTTTTGTCTTCAGAAGTCTTAGAATTCTGCATCAGTAGGAAAAAGGTTTTGGAGATTTAGGACCAAGTCACTATCTTATTTATCTCTGTATCATTATTACTTCCTAAAGTGCCCAGCATAGATACATGATAAACATTTATGATATATGAACGGATGGAGAACATAGTCATCTTGTGGATTCAGGAACTTAAGTAACTCCCACTACTATTCCGGGGTCACCTTTTTAAAAAATTCCATTTGGATAGTTTATTCCAGTTGCTATTAAAGAATGCTGACTGCCTTACGTACTCAGCCAGTCTTTCCAGCAGTTTAGGATTTTATCTACCAAATATTAAGAATAATGCCTCCAGAATACAAAAAAAAAAAAAAAAAAAAGAAGAAGAATGCCTCCATCTCCTCTGAGAGAGGGAAATAAATTTATATGAAGATAGGGCTTGCTCCAATTCTTGAATGTCTATAAAAGATATGTTACTGTATGCTAATCTTTCAAGCGACTAACCCAAGGTTTCTCAGCCTTGGCACCAGTGACATTTAGAGCTGGATCATTCTTTGTTGTGGGATTTATACTGCACATTGTGGGATATTGAGCAGAATCTCTGACCTCTACCCACTAGATGTTGGTAGCATCACCCACTCTCAGTTGTGACAACCAAAATGTCTCCAGCTACTTCCAAGCGTGCCCTGGGGCAAAACTGCCCAGGTTGAGAATCACTGCTCTAACATAATATTAATAGGAGAATAGTAATTTTCCTGCATTTTATTCAAAGCTATGGAAGCAAGCTTCACGAAAGAGCATATGTTCCACATTTCTCTTTAGTTCCTTGTTGAGGACTTTGGCAGTGACAGCTCTATCTATTTTGAAATGATTTGGTTCACAAATTCTCATTATTTTAGGCCATTTTTCTCCTTGGAACAACTTTATCTTTGGAGATGCAAATGCGCAAACTCTAAGCATCCTTTTTACACTTACTGTGATCTTCTGTGCTGCTTCAGCACTGAATTCCATTACTGGGCATTTTTAGTTAATAATTTCTAAATAATCTAAAGGCTGGCTAAAGGCACCCGGCATGAGTCCATAATATAGAGTTAGTAACTAACTGAATGTTTATCTACATCATGATAATATCGTTAAAAAATAATTTATGTAAGAACCAAAGCAAAATATAATCAATAATAGTCTTTGTTACTCTTACCTCAAGATTCTGTCTCTGGAAGAAATTTGTCATTGCTTCTGGAACTTCCTGGTATCTAAAGAACATGATAATATTTCTATTACTTGATTTATTTTAGATGTTATCTGCTTTGCATGAGGATTTAGATGGTTTCTAAACCCCCTCTTACTTCTGTTCCTCCATAATCTCAATATATTACAGTTTTTCTTTAAAAACCTATCAGTGTTTAAATGATGAGCTGACAATACATTCTGACACCCTTATTGACATCTTCATGTTAATGCCCCCTTTCTTATTGTCCATGTGGGGATATGTTTTAAACAGTCCCTATCTTTTTTAAACGATGTTTAGGGAGAGAAACTAAAATTATTTGTGAAAACATTTTCAGGATTACATAAAAGGTCTTAACATATTACTGGTAGAAGGCAAAGTCTCTATTTTATCCTCACCTCATTTAGCATAAACAATAGCAAGGCAATTTTTCATATTTAAAAAAACAAGTATAAAATCGGATGTTTAATTGTTCCTAGAAATTCTTTTTGTATTATAATTTTTGTATCATTTACTAGCACTAAGAAATCAGGATCATAGGGAAAACAAAAAGTGATTGAAAAGGATTACCCTCTTGACATGACAGATGAAGATTCTAGGTGAAAAGTAACATCTATGTAACAAAGCCTACAATTTGAAAATTGTGGGAATCAAAGTCAAGTAGTTAATTACTAACAAAAATGGCAACCCTGTTTCTTTTGTCTTTCACAGTGAATGCACAATTAGCACTTAATACCAAGCCTGGGAAATAAACTATCTATAATCTACTGGAAAAGACCATCTGCTGCTATAAATTTTGTTCTTATACATTTGCCAAAAGAAGAGAACATATTAACAAAATAACGGGCCCTGCACTGTTAATTGCTAGGTTGTTTGCAGTTGTGCTGTTGCTATTAGAATTTAATAAGCCATTCCTTCTGCTAAATTAATAAGCAGCCAAGATTATGTAATAGCTGCTTTCAGCTGCTAATTATTTTTCCCATAATTCCTTCCCCTCCTTATCCCACCCCCACCTTTTTTTGGCTAGGAACACCCAGAGGAGACTGCCAATATGTCATCACCAAGTCTCCTGTCCTCATTTTCAGAGCCACAGAGCAACATTAGAAGCATAACCAACGAGTTTTAAACTTGGAGGTGGCTATCTCAGGAACCTTGAGGACATATGTGTTTTGTACAGAAAAAGAGAAAATCAGCACTGGGAATCAGAGGACGAGTTTTCATTGTGTCGCATTAGGGCTATCTTTGAACTGGCTAATGGCATCTGTGTCATGTAGTAAGAGAGAAATGGGACATTGGCAGCACCTTTGGGGCATGACTGGGCAGGGGGCCTAAAGCACTACGGAGAGCCAGCTCTGTGCTTTGGTTCAAAGCCTTCCTTTAAATTCCAGTATGTATTAATCATACATGTTAGTAGGAAACTTTCCAAGCAGCATAGTAGTGCTGAAAAGGGGAGGTCTTATACATTTTTATTTTGCCAAACAAGGACATTAAAAATGCCCCCCAAACTCTTAGTTTTAGACATACTGTAGTACACAAAAAGAACATAATCCCTATTAAAGGATTCCTTTAAATTTAGCTTCATAAAAAATTAGCATTCTCTTTTACTTTGGGCTACTAAAAAAATTCTGGTGACTATGTTTAGGAACCTATGCAAAACCGGCATGGCACAACAAAAGCAATTTTCTAGCTTCCTTTGTAAGAACCTAGGTGACTAGAGTAATGAATAGCATTTGACATGGGAAACACGTGGTTGTTCAAGGAAGGTCACGTAATCCCATGGGGCTCCCCTTTCCTTATCGGTAAAAGATGAGTTGGACTAGATGATTCATCCATTCTAGCATTCAGGGAAAAAAAAATCCATTACGTGGCCAGCCTTATGCTCAGCATTAGAACTCTTAACGAATCTATCATTTTATAGACTTTACAAGTCAACTTTTATTTATTAGATGTGCTATATACCAGGCAGTGAACTAGGTTGGAATGCAAAATGAACAAAATCCAAGATGTGCGAAATAGAGGCAAATGGGCACGTGGGTGAAAAAGGGAATCGTTCTTACAGGGTCTTAGGGTGAGGCTTCGTAGGAGATGTGACATTTGAGAGGAAGGACATTCGAGGCAGAGCAAGTCGTCAGTAAGGCTAAACTGGAACCCAGGCGGCAGGTGGGGGCAACCCCGCGTGAAGGAAGCGGGATCTTGAAGATGAAGTGCTGTCTGGGCTTTTCGCCGAACGGACGGTACCTCATACAGTTCGCAGCACTGACGACGGGCGAGGCAAGCCCAAGGAAAAGATTCTTGCGAAGCTTGGGGCGAAAGGTGTCTGGGCTAGGGCTGCAGCAGTGCAATGAGGAGGGGCTGGACTCCGGAAAATTGTGAGACAGAATGACAGCAAAAGGCTCTGTGAATGCGTGACGAGCTCCACGAAAGAGCTGACTTGTTTTTTCCAGAGTTGCAGCACTCCCTCTCTCCTCCCACCATCATCATCAGCCGTCACACCTCCCCGTCCCACCCTCTCGGGGCACGGAGAGTCACCCGAGCTCGAACTTGGTTCCTCGCCGTTTGGACCCTCCCTGCCCCGCACCACAGGGTAGACTAAGGTCGCCGCAGAACCCTGTCACTAAAGCGCCTGGACAGCTGCCCGCGCGCGCCCCAGAGGTACCGGCGTGAGTGCGCGAGCTCGCCGGTCCAACAGACGCCGCTTCCGGGTCACGTGGCCCGGCTTCCGGTTTGCGGCACGCCTCTCGGAGAAGCCCAGCCAATCGGCTTGCTCGGATTGTGTGATCACCGGCTCTGCCTCCGGTGCCGTTGGTGACCGCTAAGCAGCTTCCCGCGCGTCGCCCAGCCCGCCTCACCGTAAGCCGCAGCCCCAGCTCCTCCCACGTCCGGCCCCCGGGGCGGAGCCTGCCGACTCGCCCTCCCCTAACCGCCTAAGCCTGCCCTCCACCGACCGGGTACCCTCCCCACAGCAACACGGCTTCTCTTTCCCAGCTCGGCGACAGGGGCTTCCCCTCAACCGCCGCCGCCGCCGCCGGCCGAGCCTTGCCGCGCCTGCGGCCCGCGGCCGCCGTAAGTCCCGGGGGGCGAGCGAAGCTCGCCGGTTGGGGATGGGGAGGGAGGGCTGGACGCGCCCCCTGCCACCCCGTGCCTGCCCCGACGACCCCACCCCGCGCCCGGCTGGCCCGCCACTGGGTCGCCGCGCCCCGCAACTCACTTCTCTCGGCGTCCGAGCCCCGCGCACCACTTCGCGCCGTACCTCAGGATGTCAGGTCCGGTCCTGGGCTCCGCGACAGCCCCGCGGCACCTGTGGTTCGGGAATCGCCTTAAGTTTTGCGGGGCGTTTTCGGGAGGGGCCGGCAGCCGGGGGTGGCGACGGCCGAGGACTCTTGGCGCCCCCTGCGCGGCGGTGGATGCCATTGTCTGCTCCGCTCCTTGCCTGTCACCTCGCCCGGGCATGGTCAGTGATGGAGTGTGGCATCGGGAGGGAGGGAGGCACTGGAGACGGCCGGACCCGAGGAACGCTGGCTCCGAGCCCTTTCCGCGGCTGAGCCCATTGTTTTTAGTATCAATCTCGAGGAATTGTGCCCTGTGATTTGCGGCAAAATCAAAGCATTGGTTTTTACAAGAGGGGAGGAATACTTGTGCCTTGCTTCCCGGTTTCGTCCCGTGTTAGCACATCATTTATTTTAAGCAGAATACATTGTGTTTTCGTCCTGCAAAGTGGCACGGCAAATACAGGACCCTGCTACAGACAGCCTTGAGCCGGTACCAGACCTCCACCCCTCTGGTCACTAAGATCTAGGAATACGGGGTCCATTCTTTTCCAAGTTCTGGTAGCGGGTTTGCTTTAAACGGTGTCCAGTTCATGCTTCACTTGCTGTCCCCCTCGACTGCCGCTATCTTCAGGACTTGGATGAGAGGCACTTTGGTGTCACCTAATAATGTCTGTAGATTTTGTGTCCGTAAAACATTTTAAGTGAGGCAATCAGCCAATTTTAACTTTAATAAAGTTAAATTGCCACGTCATAAATTTCCAGATACCTTGCTGATGCCTTTAGGGGTCATTACAAAAGAACAACAATAATTTGTTATCGAAATTTAGGGCCAGTTTTATTCTACATCGGTTGCGTAAATTTCCCCTCCCCATGTTCAAATTCAAGATGGTGTGGTGAATATTGAGAATCAGGCTTGAATCTTGCTTGCGGTAACACTGTTAAAGGCACTTGAAAGGGTTAACAGAAAAAAGAGAATAGCTATCTGAATTCTACCTTTAAATTACCTTGTAGAAACAATACTTCTCTGTTTGCAGTTGTGATGACCAATTAAATTACAAGAAGCCTGCTTAAAAAAAATTAAACATGGAGACTAATCAACACATTAGCAGGTTCCAAATAAATACATATAAATTAGTTTAAGTATAAAATACACTAGATTCAGCATCCAGTCCATCTGTAAATGCTATTTTTTTATTGTTTTACGTGAAATATTTTGTATGTCTCTGAATGTTTGTAACTCTTATTTTTGCCTTTTAAACATTTGTATTCTCTTTCATAACATTGTATTAACTCAGTTCTTAATTGTGTGCATATTGATGTTGCAATTTTTAAAAAGTGAAATGAAAACAGACTTTTATTAAGCGAAATGTGTATTTATGGGACTTTTTTTTTTTTTTTGCTTAATATTGTGGATCATTCTGTTTTGCTTAGAATAAAATACCATAAACTGAAGAGAGCATTTTAAGTGATAAGCTGTCTACAAGTAATTCTGCCTGGAAGTAGAATGGCCTCAGGGTGAAAAATAGTAGGTCTCTTGTTTCTTTTAAAGGACCTAAACCAATTGAAGTCTGCAGTTCTCTTTTGATGCATATAGAGAGAATGGAATGTATAGCATAGGTAGACACTAGTTTCTTAAATTGTGAGAGTTATCTTATTTTTCTTCACTCCCAATTATTGCCTGTTTTTCTCTTTTCCCCACACATTCTCCTCCAAATTTATGTGGAACAGGGTGGGATGGGAAGGTGTACATCTAGTAGGAAGATCTAAAAGAATTTTCTGGTATTTTAACTGGTATAGAAATATTGATGGCTGCTAATCATTTGTCAGTTAAATGCCTCCCCCTCAAAGCTTCTCTGTGGAACATGTAATCTTGATCTTAACTTTATTGATTTGAAGTATTGCATGTAATCTGGATTTTATTTATCTTAACAGATGCAGTTTATGTTGCTTTTTAGTCGTCAGGGAAAGCTTCGACTGCAGAAATGGTATGTCCCACTATCAGACAAAGAGAAGAAAAAGATTACAAGAGAACTTGTTCAAACCGTTTTAGCACGGAAACCTAAAATGTGCAGCTTTCTTGAGTGGAGAGATCTGAAGATTGTTTACAAAAGGTACAATTTTTATTTATCAGTAAAGTGAAGTAGCAGAATCAAATGTGAGGTCATTTAGGAAATTGCAGACTTTTAAGTGATGACCTTTACAGATAATGATTAGTAAAGATTTAGATAAAATAACTTTAAGAGATAAACCTTTAAATTTTTAAAGTAACTGTTGTTTTGATTGATTACCCAGGCTGAAATGATAAAGACAGAGAAATCAGTTGAAAACTAATTACATAATTAAAGACATAAATGATTTTCATGCTTAATCATCTTTTCAGACGAGTTCAATGAATTCATTGGAATTCAGAGGAAAATAGGGTCAGTATTTTAAATTGGGTGAGTAATTCTCTGAATTTAGGCAAGCACAGATGCAAATCCCTTCTCCTGAAAATTTATAAAGTAGTGACTAATAATTGACATAGCTTTTATGTGATTTTTTTAGAATCTTACTTTTAATCACTTATAAATACTTAGGGTACATAGACCGTTTCAGTCACATAGCTGTTTAAAAACTTTGTGTAGGCTGGGCACGATGGCTCATGCCTATCATCTCAGCCCTTTGGGGAACCTGAGGAAGGAGTACTGATTAAGCTCAGGAGTTCAAAACCAGCTTGAGCAAGAGTGAGACCTCATCTCTACAAAAAAATAGAAAAATTATCCAGGCATGGTGGTATGTGCCTGTAGTCTCAGCTAATCAGAAGGTTGGGCAGGAGGATCACTTGATCCCAGGAATTTGAGATTATAGTGAGCTATGATGATGCCACTACACTCCAGCCTAGGCAACAGAGCAAGACCCTGTCTGCAGAAAAAAAACCCCACAAAACCTTTGTGTATGTACAGGATCTGTTTGTAAGCGGTGTTTATTGATTTGAAGTCTACTTGTTGCTGTGGTGTAAGTATGATTAGATACAATAAATAATTTTGTTAAAGATAGATTTTTTTTAAAGATTTGATGTTGCAAAGTGACTCATTTGAACTCTGAGTTTTTTTTTAAATGCTGTGCATCTTTATTAATATCTGAAACTCTTTGAATATCATAAAATAAATTTCTCAAAATTGTTCCAAGTAGGTTAAAATAAATATACTTTTTGAGAGATGTTTTCTTTGTTTCTTCCCCATTCCTATTCCTTATTGAATAATTTCTGGTATTTAAGAGTATTTTTGCATATAAAAAATTTCTCTTATATGGAGAGTACATGGAAGTAACAGTAGGGGATGAAAGAGAAGTCTGGTTTTCTTCTCTGCTTTCTGTTATTGTACTCCAAGTGTGGACAGCAATTTTTGTGGGGGAAATGGCAGGAGAAGAAATAGAGATTATAGAACAGACTGTTTCTTTTTCTTTTCTTTTCTTTTTTTTGCTGTGGTGTCTTATCTCATAGCAACCTCAAACTCTTGAGCTTAAGCTATCCTCTTACTTCAGCCTCCTAAGTAGCTGGGACTTAAGGTACTGGCCACAACACCCAGCTAGTTTTTTTCTTTTCTTTTCTTTTCTTTTTTTCAGTAGAGATGGGATCTCCCTCTTGCTCAGGCTGGTCTTGAACTCCTGAGCTCAAGTGATCCACCCACCTCAGCCTCCCAGAGTGCTAGGATTATAGGTGTGAGCCATCGTGCCTGACATAGACAGTTTCTTAAATATTATAGACTCCTCTTTATTATAAAATGAATTTAGTCATCTTTGTGTGATTTTGTATCTTGTGTTTGGCTTAGTACTTGTTAAAGATCATAGAAAGATCATAACAAATGAGAATTGGGAGATACCTTAGGATAATCTAGTCAAGTCTCCGCCCTCCCCCCCCCCTTAAGCTTTAAGTGGAAGTAGTGTTGCTTTTTGTGAAATTAGGAATGGGGCTCCTGGACCATTGCTCACTTGGCCTCTACCTTCTGCACAGGAGACAGTTCCTGAGTTTGAAAATCTCTGTCATTGATCAAACTTCAATTTTATAAAAAGTGAAGATTTGGAGCCAGGTTTGGTATCTCCCTGTAATCTTTGCACTCTGGGAGGCCAAGATGGGGGGCTGCCTTGATCTCAGGAGTTCGAGACCAGCGTGAGCAAGAGTGAAACCCCCATCTCTACTAAAAAGAGAAAAACTAGCTGGGTGTTGTGGTGAGCACCTATAGTCCCAGCTACTTGGGATGCTGAGGCAGGAGGATGGCTTAAACCCAAGAGTTTGAGATTGCTTTGAGCTATGAAGCCATGTCCCGGAGCAATAGAGTGAGACTCTGTCTCAAAAAAAGAAGTAAGGATTTGGGAGAAGTGACTTGTTCAGGGTCATATGCTAGTTAGTGATTGACATGGGAAAGAAACTTAATTCTTTTTTTTTTTGTTAGAGATAGAGTCTCATTTTGCCACCCTCGGTAGAGTGCTGTGACGTCACAGCTCACAGCAACCTCCAGCTCTTGGGCTTAGGCGATTCTCTTGCCTCAGCCTCCCAAGTAGCTGGGACCACAGGCGCCTGCCACAATGCCTGGCTATCTTTTGTTGCAGTTTGGCCGAGGCTGGGTTTGAACTTGCCACCTTCAGTATATGGGGCCGGTGCCCTACTCACTGAGCCACAGGTGCTGCTGTGAAACTTAATTCTTAAGCTTGGATGGAAAGGTTTTAAATAGGGCTAAAAAAAATCAGATTTGGGTTTCTTAAAAGATTGCAGTAGGACAGTGGATCGGGGGAGGAGGAGCTGAGACTGGCACCTGTGGGATCCCTAGGAGGCTACATGGTCTTGAAGATAGGAGATCTGAGGTCTCAACCCAAATGCTGGAAAGGAGAGGTATTATGAGGTAAGTTTGGTAAGACGTGGTCACCCCTAAAAATGGGGAGGGTGACAAAAGAAAGGGGAGTGGGAGTGATTCTGCACTTCCCATTTGGCTGATGGGGCAAATGGTGAGCTAGCAACTCAGCTCAGCTGGGGGCAAATTGATTCTGAGATGCCTATGTGACTTTCTTAAGAGATGGCCTGGTTTTCTGATGCGAAAAGCACAGGCATGGAAGTCTGGGGAAAATAAGCTATAAAGTAGAAGATCACCAGCATTCAAACAGCAGGCAAGGGGATGAAGATGGGACTATCAGAGTAGAATCAGAACCAAAGAGAGAAAGTATCAGGTCTGTAAAGTCAGGGAAGCAGAGTTTTGAAAATAAGATCACCGGTGCCAGATGCATAAAGTTCAATGAAAGTGAAAAAAAGAGACTGTTAGATTTTACAGTGAGCATTTCACAAAATGCCTTTTGCCAGAACATTTTCAGTGGAACGGTAGAGGCAGAACTCTTGATATAATGGGGCGAAGTGTGACGAGGTGGAGAAATTTAAACAGCACGTTTGTAGACTATTTAGGGAGCTTTGCTACGAAGGCAGAAGAGGTGGTAACCACCTATAGACACAGGAGTGGGGGACGTGTTTTCTGTTTTTTTTTTTTTTTTTAAAGTGTGAAAGGCTTAAGCTTATTTCTAGATAGGGGAAGGAGTCCCCCGTGTGGAGGAGGAAAATACCAGCAAGGGAATCAATCCCAGGAATGCCCTGTAAAGGGAAGAAAGGAAAGCACTGGTTGGCATTCCTGTCCCATGTTGGGCCACCGCCTTTTCTTTTAAAAGGTATAAAAGATAATTTAACCCAACTGTGATACTTACATCAAACCCCTTTAAATAAAAGGTGGATTTTGAAAAGAAACTGCTTTGTTGAGATATTATTTATATACAAAACGTGGTAGAATTTATAATGTTTCTTTATACATTCCCCCCGCCACCACCACCACCATTTCATGCTTGAAAACATCATCTTCTGCACCAGGCCAGAATTTATTTTTTGTTGATGTAAACAGATGATTTGTTTTCCCTACTCCAGCTGGAAGAGAAGACCTTTTAAGCAAGAGAATTGCTGCTTGGCTTCTGAGAAGCCTGAACTAGCACTTTTTGCTGTTAATATCAGCCAGTGATTTTTGTCTTTTTGAAATTGGCTCATCTACATTCTTTACCCTGAGTATTTGGCATATACATACTCCCTTGTTGGGGAAGGATAGGTAGAGGAATAAGAACAATATCAGCTGAAAAGACAGACTGAAAATCTGGGGACTTGAATTCTGTTCCATTTGTGCCATTAGCTAGTTTTGTGACTTTGAATAAGTCACTTTGCCTTTGTTTCCTCATCTCTAAAATAAATGCTCTTGACAATCCCTTAAAGACAGAACACTGTACTCTTTTTTTTTTTTTAAATTCCTATTCTGTGCAGCATTTTATGGAAGAAGCACTGGCTTAAAGTATTTCAAAATTAATTTAAAAGCACATGCATCCCCAAATTACTAGCTGGAGAATTTGTCCAAGAGTACTTATTGATTTTCTTTACTAGCAAAAGAATGTGCAATGGCATACCAGTGGGTATTGAGAACAGTTTAGCTACATTCACCCATAGTCAGCTGATATTTAGCTGACTGCAGAGAAGTCATATGTTTTGAATATAAGAATAGGCACTTTCAGATGTTCTCTGAGTGCCAGTAATTAGAGTAAGCCTTAATCCACTGTGCTAAAAATAGCCAACATACCTTTCTTCTTACTAGTCTATCATTAATTTTACTTCAGATTTAGACTTACAAATATGCACTAAGAGAACAAAATGAGCTCATTATTGAATTTTTTAAAACCATTTGGTCCTAAATATAGGGAGTACACTTCAGGTTCTCTTGGTAATCTTTTACTAAACCAGTACGACATTTTTTATTTCTCTTCTTCAAAGCTCTTAGGATATTCTTTTGAGCGTATTTTAATTTTTGCCAGGTGCAGGATTACTTTAATATAGTTCCTGGGCTCTGGAATCAAATTATTGTTACTCAAACCTGGGTCTCCTCTAATGCAAATAATAATGGTATCTCTCTGGTAGAGTTGTTGTGAGGATTTGAATGGTAAAATATGCAAAATCCTTGGCTGACATTTAGTGCCTCCTGTAGGGTGAGGTCTCAGTGAATGGTACTTATTATTATGTTTGTTTCTTCCTTCCCTAAGCTTTCTGGAAAGAGGTGCCTTCTTCTCATCCTGATAGCTATCTGCTCACCTGCAACAACGAAGAATTCATTAATTTGATGGCTCTTTTTTTCCATTCTGAGTGACAGTAAACATTTAAATAGTGTTGTGGATTGTTTTATCATATTACTGGTTGGTGCTTAGACACATTGATCCTGGTGATTTTTAAACTAATGCTTCCAAATGACTTGTACAGAGACTAGTCTTTGACTAGTGTTTAACTGCTGTTTGGAAGTAAAGAGGCAGCACTGTGGATAAGGAGCAAGGACAGAAGCATTCGATTGTTTAATAGGAGCATTGAAGAAATACTGAAAATAAGAGTAAAAGGAGTTTTACTCGAAATTGAGTATTAGTAAACTCTGTAGTGGAATTGTTCAGCACTCTGTTCATATCAGCTAGTTATATGTGGTTTTTAATCTATAATTTTTATGTAAGTTCCTTTAATCTTTAGTTTTGTTAATTCAGGGAATCTTATGTATCATTTGTATCAATTTCCCCAAATTCAAAATAGGTTGGACTATCCCATTATCTTTTAAACAAATAAACAAAAAGGGCAGAGCCTATGGCTCAAAGGAATAGGGCGTTGGCTCCGTATGCCTGAGGTGGCCAGTTCAAACCCAGCCCTGGCCAAAAAAACAAAACAAAACAAAACCAGAGTTGTGATGAGAAAAAGAGGAAGCACTTTGTTAAAGTTGGAGGGCGTGTCCTGTTGTATCCTCATGATTTATTCCCTTTACAATAATAAATGCACGCATTCAAATGCTGACTCTCAATAAGACTACAGGAGACCCACCATTTTAAATAACTTACTGCCGAATGTGGAGGTCAGGTAGAGTGGACATATACAAATGTCATGATTATGTATGACAAGGAAGTTGGTATGGCAGAGTGGAAAAAGGCCTACAGTTAAGGTCAAACGATCAGGTTTCTTGTCCTAGTACTACCACTTGAAGGGCCTGTGATCCTGGGTATCATTTTGTTGTTGTTGTTGTTGTTGGTCTTTTTTTTTTAACCCATAACCAAGGATGATAGTACTTAACTATTGAAAACATCAAAAAAGGTGAGTTGAATAAAAAACTAATACTGTTGTGTAAATGCTAGTTGTTTTCACAAAGAGGAACAAGAATTCATTGAATCCCCAAACTGAGGTTGTGTGTGTTTTTCTGTATACAATATTATTTTACATTGATGCTATGAACAGTAATTACCCATTGTGTGTTTTTGTTTTTGTTTGTTTGTTTGTTTTGAGACAGAGCCTCAAGCTGTTGCCCTGGGTAGAGCGCAGTGGCATCACAGCTCCCAACCTCCAACTCCTGGGCTTAAGCAATTCTCTTGCCTCAGCCTCCCAAGTAGCTGAGACTACAGGCGCCCGCCACAGTGCCCAGCTGCCATTTTTTTGGTTGTAGTTGTCATTGCTGTTTGGCAGGCTCAGGCTGGATTCGAACCCGCCAGCTCTGGTGTAATGTGGCTGGGGCCCTAGCCACTTGAGCTGTAGGTGCTGAGCCACCCACTGTGTTTTCTAAAAACCATTTAAGTGCTCGCCAGTGAAAAGTAAAGTCTTAACTGAGACATGTTTAGAATGTTTTAGGTATTTTGTTTTCAAAAGCCTTAAATATACTTAGACCATTTTAAAATGCTTTTTTAATCTTGCTATGTCTCAGGCCATTCATTAAAAAGTGTGGCTGTCTTAGTTCAGTCATAACCTGGTCCCTTGTGCTAGAATCCTGATTTGGAGACTATGAGTTTCCCAACTTCATTCCTTCCTCTTGGATAAATAAACTGCACTTCAGTTCTACAGTTGTAGAACTTGAAAATTTTGAGGACAGGTCTGAGTTTCCCCTAAGTCAGTGGTTTTTAGGCCTTCCTAATGCTGTGACCCTTTAATACAGTTCCTGATGTTGTGGTGACCCCCAACCATAAAATTTTCAGCAGCAAAAATAATTTTATGGTTGGGGGTCACCACAACATGAGGAACTGTATTAAAGGGTCAAGGCATTAGGAAGGTTGAGAACACTGCCCTAAGTGATAGGAACTTTTTCTTCTCGTTCTCTAACTTCTATCATAATGTGGAGCTGTTGTTCTTTTCTTGGGGTTTCCACAATCCTGGAAACCTCAATATTATGTTATTAGAAGTTAAGATAGTGATTAACTTAACTTTGGGGTGGGAGGTTGTGACTGAAAGAGGATAGGAGAGGGGTTTCAGAGTTTGATAGTGTTCTGTTTCTTGATCTGGGTGCTGGTACATAGATGGTTCATTCTGAAAATTCATTGAGCTTGTGTGACTTGTGGTCTTCTCTGTATGTGTATTGTACCCCAATAATAAGTCCTTCAGTTGGAAGGTCTATTTACTTCCCTCTTTACTTGTACTTCAAATGAATCTACACTACAATTTGTTTTAATTAAGTTAACTTAAGAAAAACCTGGGTCAACTGTGTTTTAAATTGGTCATAGAGGCCGGACATGGTGGCTCATTCCTGTAATCCTAGCTCTCTGGGAGGCTGAGGTGGGTGGATTGTTTGAACTCAGGAGCTCAGCCTGAGCAAGAGTGAGACCCCATCTCTACTAAAAATAGAAAAACTAACTGGGCGTTGTGGTGGGTACCTGTAGGCCCAGCTACTTGGGAGGCTGAGGCAGGAGGATTGCTTGAGCCTGAGAGATTGAGGTTGCTGTGAGCTGTGATGATGCCATGGCACTCAACCCAGAGTGACAGAGTGAGACTGTGCATCCAGAAATAAAAATAAAAGTAAAGTGTTCATAGAAAGGGACCTGAAAGAAAGAAGAATAAAATCAGTTGCTCTTTCTGGGTGGTATGATTATATTTTTCTTTTTGCTTGACTATGCTTTTCAAAATTTCTCTTATGCATTTATTACTTTTGTAGTCTAGGAGAAAAATAATCTGTACTGTTAAAGAAAGAAGAAATAAACTGTATAAGCATGGGGTCTTTCACAATAAGGTATGAAAATATATTTAGAAAACACGATTACAGGATAACATTTGTTTCCATGTTTGTATTTTGTTACAGATATGCTAGTCTGTATTTTTGCTGTGCTATTGAGGATCAGGATAATGAACTAATTACCCTGGAAATAATTCATCGTTATGTGGAATTGCTTGACAAGTATTTTGGCAGTGTGAGTAGTATTTTATTTTAGGAAATTATATGCCATAGTACTTTTTAAAAAAATTTTCTCTAGGCTCAGTGCCTGTAGGGTGCCATCCGCATACACCAGAGCTGATAGGTTTGAACCCAGACCGGGCCTGCCAAACAACAGTGACAACTACAACAACAACAACAAAATAGCCAGGCGTTGTGGCGGATGCCTGTAGTCCCAGCTATTTGGAAGGCTGAGACAAGAGAATCACTTAAACCCAAGAGTTTGAGGTTGCTGTGAGCAGTGATTCCATGGCACTATACCAAGGGTGACATAGTGAGACTCTTGTCTCAAAAAAAAAAAAAAACTTTTTTCTAAAAAGTTTATTATTTCATTGTCTTAGCGATTCTAACTGCAGGAGAGGAAAGGAATGACTCTTTCTTGTCAGTGGGCCTAGACAGTTAACTTCTAGACTTGAGGACCCTACCACCCTAACTCATTTAATTATGATACTGAGGATGAGGTTTAAAATAGTGAAGTAGAAAGGAGTCTAAGTGCAACCATTAATATTCTGGAAGAGCTTACTATAGAATTTAGATTTGGTTAGCAGTTAGAATCACATTGCCTAGGAAATATATGTTTAAAGATTAGTTTTTAGGAATAAGGAATTATTAAGTTGCCCACATTGGGAGCATACAGGGCTAGGCCTTATTTAGCTTATAGGCATTATGTTTTCAAGTACTTGAGATATGAAAATTAAGATTACTTAAACCAGTGATGCTTAGTTAGCATGGTTGCCATTTTTAGCAAGAATTAAGATTGATTCACTCAGGTTAAATTTTATTCATTATCTAGTGGTGAATAAACATCTTTTCCTTCCTCCAGTTTTGTTTTTGCTTTTCTTTAACCCCTCATCATTGAAGAGAGCTTTCTTAAGTTTTAACAGTATTTTCTTTTTCTTTTCAGGTGTGTGAACTTGATATCATCTTTAATTTTGAGAAGGCTTATTTTATTTTAGATGAGTTTCTTTTGGGAGGGGAAGTTCAGGAGACATCCAAGAAAAATGTCCTTAAAGCAATTGAGCAGGCCGACCTACTGCAGGAGGTAAGATAAAATTCTTGACTAGGCAATAGCATGTGAAGCCTCAGTCATCACTCTTACAGTTTCACAAATTACTCTGAAGTATGCGTGGCATGTAGTGTCCATCCATGTGCAGTTTATTAACTGGAATATGTGTCTGTCATGTCAACTCAGTTATCTCTGGATGGATGGTTCACTTTGGAGATGGTCTGTTGGCTAGATGCCTCTTTTTTTTTTTTGAGACAGAGTCTCACCATGTCACCCTCAGTAGAGTACCATGGCGTCACAGCTGACAGCAACCTCCAGCTCTTAGGCTTAAGTGATTCTCTTGCCTCAGCATCCCAAGTAGCTGGGACTACAGGTGCCTGCCACAATGCCCGGCTATTTTTTGTTGCGGTTGTCATTGTTGTTTAGCTGGCCCAGGCCGGGTTCGAACACCCAACCTCGGTGCATGTGGCTGGCGCCGTAATCACCGTGCTACAGGCGCCAAACCAGTGTTTGTGTATTTCATGTGTGGCCCAAGACAACTCTTATTCTTCTAATGTGCCCAGAGGGAAAAAAAAGGTTGGACACTCCTGCTTTAGAACTAATTGTGATTTTGCTCCTATAGAAAAACTATCATATTTTTATCATTTACACTATAGCATGAGAAAGAGTTAGTAAATATTAAAACATGCGTTGTGTTTTCTTTAAAGTAGTTAAGTTTGTGTGTGTGCATATACAGTAGACCTTCTGTAAGTTGACCACCTAAGGGACTATAACAAACTGGTCAGCACACAGAGGTGGTCAACATAAGGAACTAAGCCTGCTGTACTGATATGTGCATGTGGTGCACTTCTGGTATATGAAAATTGGGTCAACTTGAAGAGGTGTTCAACGTAGGGAGGAGGTCAACTATGGAGGTTCTACTGTATATAAAAGGTGTTGAATAATTTTGGCCCACTGGTTCATTTTCCAGAGGCATTGAAAGTGTGATTTTGTATTTGCATTTTATTTTGACCCTTTCTTGTTTATTATGTGCTTGTTCATCAGTTTGTTCTTGTCTTTTTTTAATTATTAAAGGAGACTTGAAATCCATTTTTTTTTTTACCATTTCTGTTACAACATAAATGTCAAGTTTTAAGAGACCTAATTAAGAGAAGAAGAGTAGCTTACATTCTGCATTATAACTTAACTCTTGGCCCCTGTGAGGAGGGTAAAACTACTCAGGAATCTCCCTGCATCAGTCACTGGCTGGGTCGATTGTGAGAATTGCTTGAAGTTGAGATGACATCATACATCTAGTATACGTCTATTAAATGTGAGACAGTGCATTGTGTATTTAGTGTTCTTGGCTTTATCAAAAGTTATTCAGGTGCCTGCAAAGGTGAGGTATTTGATTGGCAGCCTTGTTACCACCTGCTATTCAGTAGTGAAATGAACAACAGCCCTTTGCCTTGTACGTATCCTTTACAATGGTGATTTATTAATTGACTAGAAACGTCAGGTTGCAGATTTTTTTTTAATATCTGATGTGGTGACTACAAGCTTGTGTTCTATTGTTGTAAAATTGGTTTTGTAAAGTTAGCATCTCCTTATTTGGCTGTTCACGCATCAAACTTCTTTAAAAAGTAGGTCAAAACCAGGATTGGGTATTGGAAATTTTTCATATTTGTCTGTTCCTTTGATCACTTGTGTGTTTTATTATTATGGATCTACATTCTGTTTTATCAGAACTTGGTATTTACTCCAAGTTTGTCACCATTTTCTGATTGATTACATTTGCTTTAAAACATTTTAAAACTTGTTAAAGTTCACCTTTTAATTTTTTCTTCTTTTTTGAGACAGCGTCTCACTTTGTTACCCTGGCTAGAGTGCCATGGTGTCATAGCTCACAGCAACCTCAAACTCTTGGGTTTAAGTGATTGCCTTGCCTCAGCCTTCCAAGTATCTGGGACTAAAGGCACCCACTATCAGCTTTTAATTTTAATGTTTTTCCTGGAGAGTAATATTTAGGTTCTGATATCTCTGTCACCCAGGCTAGAATACAGCAGCTGGATCATAGCTTACATAACCATGAACTCCTGGGCTCTTGCGATCCTCCCACCACAGCCTTCCATTTAGTTCCACCATCCCTGAATAATATTCTTTTTATTTTTTTGTAAAGAGGAGCTCTAGCTATTGCTCAGGCTGGTAGTCTTGAATTCCTGGCCCCAAGGAAACGTCCCACCTCTAACTTCCAAAAGTCCTATAATTATAAACCTAAGCCACTGCATCTGGCCTCTTGTGTCTCTTTTTAAAATACTATTTTTATGTCTTTAAATGAGGAAAGTAGGAATAGAGAAAAGATACCCCTCCTCACCCTTGTTTTTTTAAAAAATTGACTACTAATAATTACAGTTTCTTGTTTTTAGAAGAGAGCTATGGCCCTCTTTCTCTTCTGTGACTACTTTTACATTGTTTTGTATAGAAACCAAACTGAGGAGTACATTAAGATATTGTCTATTGGCTCGGCGCCTGTGGCTCAAGTGGCTATGGCACCAGCCACATACACCTAAGGTGGCGGGTTCGAATCCAGCCTGGACCCGCCAAACAACAATGATGGCTGCAACCAAAAAAATAGCTGGGCGTTGTGGTGGGCCCCTGTGGTCCCAGCTACTTGGGAGGCAGAGGCAGGAGACAAGCTTGAGCCCAGGAGTTGGAGGTTGCTGTGAGCTATGAGGCCACAGCACTCTACCCAGGGGGACAGCTTGAGGCTCTGTCTCAAAAAAAAAAAGATATTGTCCATTTAGGGGTGTAGGTGAACAGTTTTTCTTACCATTCAGGTCTTGAAGCAGAAGGTGGTAGTCCATTCTGAATTTAGAGTGAGTTTGAATATATTGCAGGTTAAGGCCTTTATGAAGCTAAGCTCAAGTCTGTGTGGGCTTCAGGTTATTCTGTTCCCTTCATTAACATAAATTCAGGGATGGCAGGATATGTGTTCCCTGAAGTAGGTTCATTTTTATGTTGGTGCATAAGATTTACATCTGTAGGAGAGTCTTTGAATATTATGTTCATATGATAGAAGGTGGAATAAGATGAGCAAGAGCACTCAATAAACTGCTACAAAAAGTTTTTGTTCTAGGTACCTTGACAACAAAGATAACTATGCCAGTAACTAATGCTTATTGAGGGCTTGTATATGAGGCCCAGGGCTCAGCAGTTTGCTTTAAGCATCCTGTGCTAATCGTGAGGGCACCCTGTTAAAAGGCTAGAGGTAGTCCTTTTGAACAACTGAGAAAGTAGAAGCCCAGTGAGGGTCCAATCTGAGGCTACCTGGTTAGCAACTGGTAACACCAGGAATCCAAACCCAGATCTGCTAGACTCCAGGGCTGTGTGAAACCACTGCGCTTGGTCTCCCCATTCGTGTATTGTCTTGCTATGTATCTTTTAATTGTTTTGGTTTAGACACCAAATTCTGTGTTCTTAGTCACACAGTGAGAAATTCATAATTCTCCCAGAGATGTTTCTGTGTGGAACAGAGTATATTTCCTAAGACTAATGCCATCTTTGACTTCTTAGGCTGGGAATTTTTTTTTTTTTTTTGAGATAGTCTCACTATGTCACCCTTGGTAGAGTGCCATGGTGTCACAGCTCACAACAGCCTCTAACTCTTGGGTTTAAGGGATTCTTTTGCTCAGCCTCCCAAGTAGCTGGGACTACAGGCGCCTGCCACAGTGCCCAGCTATTTTTTTTCTTTTGTGTTGCAGTTATTGTTGTTTTAGCTGGCCTGGGCCAGGTTTGAACCCACCAGCCTCAGTGTGTGTGGCCAGTGCCTTACCTATTGAGCTACAGGCGCCACCGAGCTGAGAATTTTTAATGTCCAAATTATCAGTAGTTGGAATTTTTTTATTGGCTATATAGATATAAATAAGAACTTTTGATTTATTTCTTGTTGGATTGATCAAAATGCCTGGATGTATTATAGCTTTTTTGGTCTTATAATTTGGGGTATAGCATTCACTTAGTCAATGTCATGAAATGATTTCACTTCCAAAATTATAAATATAGCTGTGAAGATACTTATCTAAATTCAGTCTTAAATTGGTAGTAGAAGTCCTAATTAGGTAACTTTAATTTTTTATGTGTCATGATTTTTCTATTTAGTCTCAGGTCTTTTACTTAAATTGATTATTTCTTGATTATTTCTAAGCACCAAAGATGACTTTGAACTTATAATGAGCTTATATCTGTTGGCTGAAAGGTATATGCAGATCTCAAAATGATTTTGATATTAGTTCTTTCTTTAATTTTTGAAATACACACTTCTATCCTTAAGAATGCTTATCTTCGGCTCGGTGCCTGTGGCTCAAGCGGCTAAGGCACCAGCCACATACACCTAAGGTAGCGGGTTCGAATCCCCAGCCCGGGCCCGCCAAACAACAATGATGGCTGCAACCAAAAAATGACCAGGCGTTGTGGCGGGCGCCTGTAGTCCCAGCTACTCCGGAGGCTGAGGCAGGAGACTCGCTTGAGCCCAGGAGTTGGAGGTTGCTGTAAGCGTGATGCCATGGCACTCTACAAAAAAAAAAAAGAATGCTTATCTTCTTCAGAAAACTTCCTTAAAATTTTTCCTTTACTCAATTTGTATAAACATCACGTAGTTTAGGGCAGTCCTTCCTTTTAAAGGCAAACAGGGAAGAGGGTCAGCGGGTGAAGATTTTCTATTAGCATAGTATAGTCAGTGATAAAATAGCATAAAGGGTATTCAAATAACAATCACTGAAGTATCAGAAGACATTGTATTTATATAATAAAGATATCTTTTTTTTTTAAATGCCAGTCTCGTGCAGTAGTGAGAGAGGGGCAAGAGTAGGATAAGTTCATTCTGTAACTGACAGTGAACAATTAATTGAGATAACTCACTATTTTTGGACCAGTCAAAATAGCTTTTTTAATTTTACTTGATTACTTGGTAAATAAGGGTTCAGTTTTGACTTTTTTAGACTGAACTTTATGTTTATTCCTTTTGGTGTTTAGTTGTATGAATACATAATTAGATTTGA